ACGATCTGATGTATACCTTCACCCACAGTTCTGTTATTCATTCCCCTCATGAGGAGAATCCATATGATGGTTATATTTTAAAATTTTTCTTTTCTATGAAATACATCTGAAACATTTATAACTAAAAAATTCTTGAAATTTCTTTAAAATACATAAATTAATAACAAAAATTTGGATAGGTTTAAAGATTTTAAAAGGTAAAGATATATCCTTTTCTAATAAAAATAGTCTTTCTACCTAATTATTTACCATTGAGCCCAATATCCCTCAGAGAGATAAGAATTTGAGTTAATGCCACAAGGAAACACACAACCTTTACTGAGGTCAGTCAGGCAATCTTTTACCTGCAACACAACTCAGGAAAATCATCCTTGAACCGAAGGCCAGTTCTCAGAGTCGTCATCATCTTCACCCTCACAGAACTGACATGTTTGGGTCCCATCAACTTCATCAAAGACATCAGACTGTTCAAGGCCTATAAAATAAGCAGTGCTCTACAATAAAGCCTTATCCACAAGCTGACAGGAGCATACCGACCCATAATCTCAGGGTCGTATCTGTTCTCTAGAGAAACAAAACATATGTTGGCCAGTTTATTTTGTCCAACTTTTTATGCAGAAATTATGAATTTGAAAAACAGAAGTATGGTTTGTGGCTTGTTATTTGTGGGGGTTCCTTGAAGGTGACGTATTATTTTGGATCTGGTGGTCCTCTAGAAGAGCAATTTTCAAATGTATCAAGGATATAATAAATTTGCTATATCTATTGCTTAATTTTATTCATATCCATTCCAAACTACTATGTAGCATAAATACACACTGAATTTAAAATTACTGATTTTGAGAATGCTGAAAAAACGATTTTGATATGTGAAGATTCACATAAGGAGTGATGAAAAATTAAGAAAATTTCTGTCCCAATGATATCAATGATATAAAAAGACGATCTGAATTTAGTGTAACAAACATGTAACTAACAGTTTCTGTGCCCATTACACCTGAAACACAGATTCTAATAAAGGGGTAAGGAGTCTCAACTATGTGCCAAAAGCACACTCACCTCTTTATAGTTTAAAATACAAACGTTAGTTTTCTTGGGTTTATAGTAACTCATTCACATTTCCATGTGGAAGAAACAGAAGTTGTTTAGGGATCAAATTTATTAGTTGGCAGCAAAGGAACACGATTGGTTACTAAAATCTGTAGGGTTTAATATTGTATTCTATGTGGTTTTTGGCTCCTTGAGGTTACTAAGAGAAGTTGAGTATAACTGAAATAAAAGCTTCCCAGTCGTGGATTTTTCTACAGGTTTAATGATTGTAGAGGAGGTAGAAATGGAAAGGAAATTTAAAGTCAATGGCTTCCAATTGTTACTGCACTTCTAAAGAAACTTCACTGTCTTAAAAATGCATTTAACAACAACAACAAAAAAAAAAGCATTTAACCGTAAACTGACAAGTACTGAGATTGCCATATGTCATAAAAACTAACTTTTTAGCATGCAAAAACACTCTGACCCACTTTAGACCACTAAGATTCAACTATACTTGATCTCTCAGGAAGAAAACTGAACTCTTCCATCTGCTGAGCTAATGTGATGGTGTGAGCAGCGAGTCAACCCAGGGGAATGTGAGCCAATAAATTATTCTAAGAAGATTGTTTGAATCTAAAATCAACTTAGAGCCAAAGATACATTATCCTTACACTTACAGTTCAGAATTAAGAAATTTGATTTTTCTATCTCTAATAAAACAAAAGAAGTGTGGTACCGTTTCTCTTTTTAGACTTGCAAAAAGCTATACAAGTTGTTCAGAAATAAGAAATGTCATGTTTATTTCTATCTTTTAATGTAGCTAAATGCATAAATCATACCTTTTATGTATTCTGTATGAATTCTATTCTCACCCTTTGGAATTCAACTATTACTACCTACCATTTTCTTATCTTCAATGCCAACACTGGAGCTGAGTAACTGCAGGTTAAAAAATGCCAAAATGCCCAACAACTTCGGCTGCAAATAATCCCCCTAAGGATAAAACAGATATTGTATAGATTTCACACATGTCAAATTTCATAAATGAACAATTTAAGCATTTAATTAACATCATTTATAACTTAGCTAACTAGTTTAGAATATTGAAAATAAATATTTGGTGAGTAAGCATCTCCAAAGGTATATGTCTTCTTAAGTAGCATTTAAAGAAATTAATGAAACTGATTTATAATTATCCTGACAGATTAACAATATAGACCTGTAAGAAAATCATGAGCTTTTAAATCATGCAATTATCTGGGGTACTGATCTTCAGGACCCAGAGTGGACAGGAGATTTATCTTATGAAGAGGACTAGAAAAAGACAAATGAGCATTGTAACTAAGTAGTGCATTTGCTTTTCTCTAATTCTTTAGTGTACTCGGAGTTAAGCTTGTAAAAAGCACTTAAGGAAAAGGTACCATCCAGATCAATGGTCTAACACAGGGTCAAAAGCCCCAAAGGTAATAGTAAAGGCCAAGGGCACCAGCAGTTAAGAGACCAGCTACCACCAATTATGCCATCTTTGGTCTCCTGAAGTAAACAGGGTTAATGCTTCCTTGAGAGAAGGTTCTACAGGCAGGGAATAAGCTTTATGTGAGCCAAACCTAGGTCTCAATCCAATTTTGACACATCTTAGTGTGTGATCTAGAATAAGTCACTTAATTCTGCTGACTCTGTAAAATGGGAAAAGTATGTAATGCGTGGGTTTTCAT